CTAGTGCCAACGAATCACCCACGTGTAGCTCTTGATTAAGTCTATTAAAACAAGTGTTAAATTACATAAATCATCTAACGAGATAATCATAATGACTTCGCTCGAAGGACCAATTGTACCCACTTGTATGAGATTCCCATAGACTAAACCAAATAGGTTCTCATGATGAGTCAAGTCGGTGATATGTTCTTTAACATTAATCACCTAAGTGCTTGCTTTGGTATCACCATGCCAATAGGTGTGAGACTTCTACTCGTTATCTTATAGCATGAACATAGCACTTACAAGTCTTATCACATATAGTCAATATCCATTCTTGACCATGCTACGACTTAGGACATTTAATGATATCATTTAAGTGCATTAATATTTATCTCACATCTTTCGATCAATTATTAATGCAATGCATATCATATGAACTTCTATCTAATTTTATCAAAATATAAATGACAAGAATTAATAGAAAGACTTCTTTTATTAATGAAATTATAAACTATAAGAACTAATAGAAAGACTTCTTTTATTAATGAAATAAAAAATGTAATATTACAATAAGTCAAACTATCCAAACAAGGTTAGATCCGGGTACCTATACTAACACATTTTACTTTTCGGGATAAGCTATCCTTCACAATGAAGCTATCATATTTTATTTTTTAAGGCAAATCATATTTCATAATAAGGCTATCGCATTTTACTTGTTAGGACAAGTCATCCTTCGCAATGGGCTACTACATTTTACTTTTTAAGGTAATTCATCACTCATAATAGGCTATCACATTTTACCTTTTAGGACAAATCACCTTTCATAATTAGGCTATCGTATTTTACTTTTCAAGACAAGCTATCCTTCATAATGAGGCTATCACATTTTAATTTTTAAGGTAAGCCGGTCTTCACAATGAGGCCATCGCATTTTAGTTTTCCGGGGCAAGCCATCATTCATAATGAGGCTACTTATTTTATTTTTTAGGGCAAGACATCATTCACAATGAGTCTATCATATTTTACTTTTTAGGGCAAACCAACCTTCACAATGAGACTATTGCATTTTACTTGTTAGGGCAATCCACCCTTTACAAAAAAGGCCATCGCTTTTTACTTTTTAGAGAAAGTCACTCAAGACAATCGGACCACTTTGTTTTCACACTCAACTTACATCCTCTTTACAAGCTTACTATGCAAACCCAATCTAAAGTCCACACTTCGAGTTGGTATTTGCATCGTAAGCATTGTAAAGATAGGACAATTGTCATAACCTAAATTTAGGTTATATTTATTTCTCTAATTTTATTTCTTTTGGTTTTATTTATCATTTTTTTAGTTTAATTTCAATATTCATTATTATAAAAAAAAAAGGAAAAATATTAAAAAATAGTCTTGGTTTATAATTGTATTTATTGTTACAAAAAAAATACAAAAGCATAAAAATAAAACAATAATAATAAAAGGGCTTTCTAATAAAATAATTAATTAGGATCATAATTGAAAGGGTTAAGAACTAAAATTGAAAATGTCATATTTAAAATTAAATGTCAATTAGGGGCGAAATTGAATGAAATAGTGGTGTAATTGAATGAAATAGTGGTGTAATTGAACGAAATTGGGATTGAAATTGAAAGTCAATAGGGGTGTAATTGAACTAGAAATTAGGGATATAATTGTTAGGAATTGAAACATCCAATGACTAGAGTGAAATTAAGAAGTGAACGGCATGACTAAAAATTGAGTGAACGACGGGCCTAGAATCAATCTTCTCCGTATTGTTCATCGTTTTCTACCAAAGAGGACAAACTTAATCAATGCCAAAATTCTTGACTAGCATTCATACTAGTCAAGAATCATGCCTCACACCATCACCCGCATCGCTACGCCATCAATATAATCCACAAACCTACACATGCTATGCTTTCAATTTCAATTTCATTATTGCACCAAAAGTCAAGAACACTAAAAACGTGTTCTTTGGCTTTATCAAACAAGGGTTCTAATCATTTATAAAGGATCCAAGTATGGAAATTCGGTGCAATGGGGCTATAAATTGAGCTCTGTTGCAAGATTTGATAGAGAGGGATTGAAAATTCAATTCTAAGTTTTTTTTTTTTTTTGCTAGTTTGAAGGTTTGAATTTCTAGGCAAGAGATATCGATTGTTCCGGATTTATACAACTCCTTCAATCCATAATCTTCCAATCTCTAATCCGGGGTGTGTTCTAACTCATCCCTAAGTCCTAAAATCATCAACAACAAATCAAATCATTCGTCCACTTTTTTCAATCAACTACAAGGCAACTATAACAAAAACACCATGACTCTTATATCTACCTCTCATCTTTTTAGTTTCGCTCGAGTTATAAAGCCAATTAGTCCACAATCATCCAAAGCATTATCGCACGCGAGTCTTTAGGTTACACAATCGATCACAAACCCAAACTACTTATCATCATCATCATCGATCATCCGTAGTAGAGTAAATCAACACAACACAACACCTAGACCTTTTAATTCACCTTAGTTTTTTTAGCATCATTTAGGTAACCTAAGTTTCTTCCTTTATTTATGATGTTCATTCAGTTCCTATTTCGCTTTCAAAACATGCAAAGAAAAATGGTAGTGATACGGTCATTACCATTCACTAGCCTTGTGGCTCAACTCCTTTAATCCATCCAAGATAGGGTAACGAGGAGGGAGTTTTGGTTTGACAGATCAACTTAGGGTTGTTAGATTCATATTGAGGGAATTTCATTCGAGGAAGAAAGAAAAATTTGGGAGCTTGGGTAATTGGACATTTTGTCTAGGAAGAACATGAAGAAGAGATATTTGGTTTCAATTTGAAATGCTTAGGTTTGGCTAGCTTTGTTGAAGAAGGAAAAAGAGAGGGGCTAGGTTTGGTCCAGCTTGTGTGAGGCCAATGGGAATAGTCCGGGTTTAGCCCAACCTAAGACAGAGAGGAAAATGCGGGTTTGCCAAACAAACTTTACCACTAGGCCCAATAACCCTTATTTTTTCTTACTCTTTATTTTCTTAATTGTTTTCCTACATAAATTAATTCTGAAATTTTAATGTATGCCTCTTATTTTTATGCCTAGTGTATATATATATATATATATATATATATATATTTGAAGTCCCTTTTGCCTATTTATTTTAGTTTATTTAATTTCAAGCCTAGTAATTAATTTCTCTTAGTGTTTAAATTTCACTTTAGTCTATTATATAATATTAATTAAATCTGAAATTATGGTGGATAATTTTAGACTTATATGAATGATTTGGGTTTTAATCTTCTAAGTTTTTGGTAATCTAATTTTAGATTTATTTAATTTTGAATATTTCTTAAATAACTCGTTAGTTTAATTAGGTAATTAATAGGTAGGTGAATCATCGAGTCTTCTAATTTTTAGGAACTGGTGACGATTTTCCACCAATCTTGGAAAAAAATGAAATGGAAAGATAAAAAGAGAGACATAAAAAGAAAAGAACAAATATATATATATATATATATATATATAGAGAGAGAGAGAGAGAGAGAGAGAGAGAGAGAGAAATTTAGGTGAAAATTTACAAGTCGCATATCTAACTGGGACCGATATTAATTCAAATCAGTCACATTTTAATAATTAGGTCATTCTCTAACATATCGGTTATGTCGAGACTTAAACTCGGATCCGATGTTGAATTGACGAGACTCCCGATGACGGGATCCGACGATCGATTCAATATGATGCGAAAAAAAAAAAAAAAATTAATTTAGCTTAGATAAGAAGCTTGAAAATTGGCTTAGAAATAATTTGATAAAAATAAAAAAATTTAATAGATAAAATTTTAAGATTAAACTAGATATAATAACTTGTTTTCAAAAATTATGCCTTTGGATGATTGATATATTTCTAAAGACATAAACAACTACTTAGCTTAAGATTTCGAATTAATGTCAATTTTAACTTTTCTAGTTTTTTTAATAATAAGTAGCAACTCTAAAACATAATTTAACTAACATCCCAAGTAAATAAACAAAATAAACAACAAATAATTTTTAATTAGATTTTTTTTGAAAATTTCTTAAATGTCTGGTAGTGACACATAGCTAGGAAGAGTCACTTGGAGCTGCTGCACCTAGCAAGATTGGCCCACATGGGTCGTTCACGACCCTATGTGCCTAGTTCCCGCTAGCATATGTGGGCACTGATGATGCAGATGGGTCGGCAAGGCTGCCCGGAGCACCAGTCTGACTAAGAAAGTTCTTTGAAGATATCATGTTTACCGGCTGCTAAGAATTTGTAAGCAGAGTTGGGGATGAGCAGCTGAAAACTTCCCCGAATAGAAATAATCTTATAAGGTCGATGAAATAAATACACTGATGTCGCTCCATCCAACTACCACCAAAGATTCAGATATTAATGAGGATTTGTCTGATTTGTGAATTAAATCTACTGTTTTCACTTTCCCAACTCCCAATCATGAAAAACATAAAAGCAGCATCTGAATCTACAAGGAAAGACCTTAAAAGTAGTATCTAGAAGAACACTTATTCAGAAGTAACACATCTCAAGATGGTTTGGTGTTGTACATGTTCAAACCATCAGCTAGAGTTCAAGCTTTGTAACAGCAACAGCAGGACAAACAAATCTCAAAAAAATTTACAAATCATGCCTCCCAACCAGCTTTCAACCATATCAAGCAATGTAATGGAGAGAAGAACTCGAACTGGACTAAAAAACACCCAAAGAGGTAGGATACAGGGGAGTCGTGGGATTAAAAGAAAAATAATTGGGAGTGTAACTGGAAGATCGGATTTTCAGAGGATCCTTCGACTCAATGGCAGGTTGGTTCAAGTATGCATATTTGCTCTTTGTCCACCTGCACATGTTAATTGAAAGATATCTGTTAGGGGAGGGGAGAACATCCAACAATCTTATTTTTCAAGAATCAAATGGCTGTTGCTTCTTTCTCACGAGGGAACAAAATCTAAATCGGCAATAACTTCTTAATCAATAAAAACTTAATCAAGACCTTCTTGATCGCTTCCATTGCTATACAAGTATGAGAACATTCAAGTCATAAGAAAGTTATATTTAGTCTCCTCGTCAACAAACTTATGCAAAACTAGAGGTACTTAAGAAGTTTAACTCACCAGTCCTTTATTCCCACGCGGACTTCGCTGTTGTTCTTGGCATCTTTGCTGCTATTGAGGCTTGTAGTGTCGTTCTCTTTAGCATCATCGTCATCCTTCAATGAATCTTCAAATTGCTTATAGTCATCCTCCTACATCAGATGGCACAAACTTCCAATGTGCTAAGCAAGCATACGAATATTCATATGCCAAGAATTAAACTCTACTTATTTAAAGGGAAAAAAATCATCAAGTCTAAAAGCAAATCCCATTGTCCATAACCTAAAGTCATAGAGTTGTAGGAGTAGTAGCAGTAAAAGAGTTGGATAATCTTAAGAATGAAGCTAGTTTAGGTCTCACTATTTTTTCAAACGATTTAACCAAGTGAAATGTGTTTGTGGCTTTTTGGTTTTTTCACTTGTAGGTAAAACACAAATGGTAATATGCCCATATGGATGAATTCATTACTACACTAGCTGCTATACTTGACTTCTATGGGAGGTATCAACTCTAAATTGAGGCTTTGCAACCTCTACGAGTTCATCCCTGAACCCTTCATAACAAGGCATAAAGTGTAAGTCAAACCTCAAGAGAAATGGCCATTTAAATGAGCCTTAAAAATTTGAAACATTTGGTTCCTTACAGAAATTTATTGTGTATCCAAGTTCACAATCAGTCAGTTATTATAGCACTATCTCCCAACTAGCCCGTAGGCAGGTAGCTTAAGAACAGAAATTTATTAGAGTGAGTCTCAAACAATCTTAGCTTCTTAACTAGGAGTTAGATCATATCTTCAGATTAATTTATTTTGTTCAAGTGAACAAAATTACGCTCATAATTGGAATAGTTATTGATATCTTTTCTTCACCAGTCATCATATATTTTAGCTATCCAACAACTAAAAAATCAAAAGTTCCAAATATCTTACAGAAAGATTTCTAATTCTGATACGTGCAGCAGCCTTGATAGCAGCAAGGAAGTGATCCTCTTCCTCCATACGCTTCTGCCTCCAAAACTTAGCAATCTCTTGCTTTGTGACACTCTCAGTAACATTGTTCCGAACCCAGAACCTTGGAAGTGGTGGTGGTGGTGGAGGTGGCGGTGGGGGTATTGGCTGTGTTATCTTTCCATAGACATCTTCAGTTTCCACTTTCATTTGCTTCATCTTTTGGCTGATTCAGTTGTCAATTTGCCACTATTAGAACAACGAGATTGCAAAAGAAGAAGAGAGTCAAGATACATAAATCAAAGCCACGATGAGCTAGTTCCACAACCAACACTCCAGAGCTACTAATCCAACCTAATTTTCAACTGACTGGTAGATTGGCAATCCAGTCCCAATTCTTTCTCGCATTCACCACTTTATTTTTTTATAGAAAGACCAGATTAGCTGAGCACATAACAGCACAAATAGAGTCCTACGCTTGAAGAGCTTAAGACAAAAGAAAAATTGACTGGTAGGTGCAACCTAAGATTCCCAAACCGACAAGTGAGGTATACATTGATGTTTGCCAAAACTAATTAACCCACCATTTCTTTTCCCAAGTTCACTCTCAAGAAAGGAACCACGTCCTTTCCATGATAGTATCTGCCAAAACCTACATGTCAAAACCTGATAAAGATAATGAAAGAAAGTGCTACTGCTAAAATCTTTTATGAGACTGATGCAGCAACATACATTAACAACATCGGTGTCTCTCTACTAACATCCCTAAAATTTAACAGTGTGATGCCTTCCTTCATGGAAAACTGACTGGTTGTTCACTGTAATGATATCTATACATAAACAAGAACAGCAGCAATTTGTCATAAATCTATTGTACTTCTCATCCTATCATGCTTTTAGATCCCTCATGATTTCCTGGAAATTGAATATAAAAGTCAATAACTCACAATTAATATATATATCCATGGCACCAATAACAATCACACCAACGATAAATAGTACAATAAAATTGAATAACAAAATTAAAGTTCCAAGAACAAAAGCTTTATTCTTTATCAACAAATATACAAAATAAATAAATAAAAATAGCAAGAATTCAACACATTAAATCGGAATTCAACTATATAACAAAATCCAGATCAAATCTACTTCTTCTACAACAACCACAACAATTATGTACCTACAAACCCTAACCACCAATCATCCTCTAAAACCATCAACTTCAACAACTCAAAAATCCCAGATGCCACAATGAATCACCAACCCTTCAAGTTTCTGAAGCAATTATAAGAGCCTTAGTCTTGAACCTATACCTAGGAGCTCTTGGAATAGCCTGACTAGGACCAAGACCAAACTGACCAGGACTAATAGTTAAAGGCTGCCCATCATCATAAACATAACCAACTAGACAACCACAACTATTACACTTGATCTTGGTTCTCTTTCTTTGAATGCCCCAGTAATTCACTGTCTCAAAAAATGGCCTGATCTTCTCTTCCTTTTCAAACCTGAATTTAGTCGAGTCTATTGAAGAGAAAGAGAGGGTGCCTTTGTTTCCTGCTTCAAAGTAGAAGTCTTGTGGGTAGAGACAGTTTATGTTTAGATTCAGGTTTGTCCCACATTCCGTGCAGGTGTAAATCGATGCCATTGTTGGATTTTCTGTTGGCTGTGTGAGGAGAAGGGAGGCCGGTATTTCTTGGTTCGGCGGTTATGAGTTGTGATCATGTATGGAAGTGGAAATGAAACTTCAAAAGCGCGTCGTTTGGAAACTTCTTTTTGACTATTAATTGGAGATTGATGGTTAATTGAATTAATGGTCCTTCAAGTATTTGTTGATTTTAGATTGGTCCATTTTGCAAGTTTTCTTTCTAGAAGAATAATTCTTTTTTCAAGAATTTTGTTTGTTTTTGACAATTTTTTCGCTGATATTGGGGAGCTTTGAGCCTTTGTTTTTGGGATGGGCAGATAGGATACCATCTCTTCCATTAGGCAGGACATCGAAAAGGTAGATGTTTTGCAAATTCTTAAAAATCATTATACTTGATTTTGAAATTAGCTAATATGGTTATCAAATTAAATCAACGAATTTGTGGGGGGCAAATATCCACATTTTATTACAAAACCATCGAATATGAATTATTCGTATTCGATGATTTAGTCATTTACCATATGAGATAAGAGTTCCAGAGAGAGAGAGAGAAAAAAAAAAAAACATCAACGTAGAAGCTACCCTTTAATGTTATTGAATAAAAAAAATGTGAAAAATAAAATGACAGATTTTATATATATAAATAATAATAATAATAGATATTTAAGATCTATCTCTCCAATAGTTCAATTCATCAAAATATTTATTATTTGATAGCATAATTAACAATGTCAATTGTTTTATTTGATAGCTAGGGATATCATGGAGAGGTTGGAATGAATTTATACGGGTGTGTCATGAAATCAGAAACTCTTTTTAGATTATAATTTATAATGTTTTGAACTTAAATGCCTAATTCAGCTTTTTATATATATATTTATATATATAACACGAATCCTCTTAGTAATAGTTACCAACTAAATTTTTATTTTAGACGTAAACAATAAAGTGATAAAGCTTTCACAAGGTTTTTTTTTTTTAATCATTCCCCTTTTGCTATTGTTTTATCATTTTTTAACATTAAAATTCAAATTGATTAAAAAATGACCAACAAAGCTATGAAAATAATTGGTTATAATTTCTATAAGTTAAAATCAATTAATAATATTAGTGAAGTTGGAGTATTTTCGTGAGCAATATATTAATTTACTTTACCTTAAAAGCTCGAAAGAGAATGAGTTTTACTATTTATTTTAAACATTGAAATTATGGAGCAAAATAATGTTGTTTCAAACAATATTATTGGAGTTTATCATTGTTTCAAGCAAAATTAGTCACTAATTCTTAATCTCATCAAATGAAAGGCCTCAATCTAACCCATAACATATTATCTCATCATCAATTAAGTCTCAAACCTTTTGATTTTATCAATTTTACTCTAAATATAATAAACATTTGATAATGTCACATGTCAATCCATTTATCGTTAGAAATAGTTAAATATGCGGTTCAATATTCATTAAGTGCTTCCATTCAAGGTACCATAATGAGCTAGAACATGCCCTAAAGGACAATTTTAACATCAAATCATAATTTTTTTCTCCACTTCGATAGTTCGTATTAAAAAAAAATTACAATGATTTGACACTAAAATTATTCTTTATGATTTACTAGAATTTATTTTAATATTTTAATTAAAATACTCAATGAGCACATACAAACTAGATAAAATATTTAACTGTCATTAATAATAGATAGATTAAGAAGTAATATTGTTGAACGTTCATTTCATTTGAGCAAAATTGATAAAAGTAAGACCGTTTAGGACTTAATTGATAATGGATAGTACTTTAGGAGTTAAATTGAAGTTTTCCTAAGTTCGTTGGACTATTGAGTATTTTCGCTAACCTTAACTTGGGGTCATCCTTAATCTTTTCGGGGAGTTTTGGTATTATTCACGCCTCTCTCTCTCTTTTTTTTTTTTTTTTTTGGTTTTTAGTTTTTAATATTTGTTTTTTTTAAAAAAATTGTTTAATTGGCTTTTTTTTTAATTACTTAGTTACAATAAGATATTAACATTAATTTTGTAATAACCCAAATTTTAGGTTATATATTTTCCTCCAATTCTATCTTTTTGAGGTTTTTATTTTTTCATTTTTGTTTTTATTATTTTATATTTTATTAATATCCTCCGTTATTTATTATTTTGGTTGCTCCTTATTTTTATTTCATTATTTATTTATTTTTATGTTATTTATTTTATTTTATTTTAGTACTTACTAAAAAAAAATTTAAAAAAATCGAAACTGTCAAAAAAAATATAAATATACAAAAATACAAAATTGAGAGATATGTTTAATCAAGAGCATAATTGTATTAAATCAACTTGAAATTAGAAGTTAATATGGGTTAAATTGAACAAAAAATCGAGATGAATTAAGGATATGGTTGAAAACAATTAGAGGACACGATTCAAAAAACATTCGGGAAGTTGAGGGACCGACTTGGCAAATTACCATGTGAGACAATGAACGAACCATTTCAAAACCGAAATGGTTTTGATTTCTCCTGGTTTTCTAACGATTTTGATTCCCGACCATCTCACCTCTCTTTCTTCTTTGCTTGATCCGCAAGTCGTGCTCGCAACAAGTGAGAACGTTATAAAAAATGGAGGAGTAGGAGGTGATCGAACGGTTTAAAATGGAGAAAAGAAGTGGAGAATTAAGATTGTTAGCAGGAAAACGGGTATAAATAGGAGGGGTAGAGGTTGCCAAGGAGGACGAATCGAAGAAAAAGAGAAAAGAAAAGCGAGAGAGGGAAGGGATAGAAATGCGGGTTTCTTGGATTTTTGGGTTTTCTCTTTTTTTTTTTTTTTTTTGAATTTCTAGGTTGTTCTTCAAGTTTTACGGGTTTTTTTCCTTAAATTTACGTGTCCGAGGTTCGAAAGCATCATCCATCCTTCTCTTCAAGTGGTTGTTCAATACATAATCTTTCCACCTCCGATCCGAGTGTGTTTTCTAAATCTTTCTCGAGCTACAAAACAAACAACAATTTGTTCAACCATTCACCCACATTTTCCAATTGGCGATAAGGTATTACAACTCAAATCTAGGCATTCAACACCAACAACGGGTCTCCTATATTCCAACAAACCCTCTAGAAACCCGACCATCATCAATCAAACCTACAAACAACCTTTATCCCTTTCGGTCAACCCTAGTCGATTGCAGTTTCATTTTCAATTCATTTTAGCATTATCATTCGTTTTCTTGTTATTTAAGATTTGAATTTCGGTTCATCAACAAGGTTAAGATCAAGAAAAAGCCAGTTGATTTCGTAGAGTACCTTCGTGCAAGGTTTGGTGTTTATATTCGCGAGAGAGAGAGAGAGAGAGGAAAAAGAGAAAAAAAAACGAGAAAAAAGAGGAGAAAGAGAGACTAGGCCGGAGAAGGGGACCAAAATAATAAGGCTGGATCGGGTCTAACCCGATTCAAAAAAGGGACATAGAAAGAATAGAGATTGGATTGGGTTTAACCCGATCTGGAAAACAAAAAACAAAAGAAAGAAGAGAAAATGGGTCAGGGTTAGCCCGGCCAAGAAAAGAAAAATAGAAATGAAAGAGTCCCGTAGGCTTAGCTCGGCCCACTAAGCTCGGCTAGAGTGGGCTTACTCCAACAAGCCAAATCGGTAGGCTCGGGCCAATAGGCCCAACATTCCAAATTTAGCTTTCTTTTTAATTAAGTCAGCTACGATTTTTTTTTTTACTCGTTATTTCTTGCTTCATTTATATTTAATATTTTGAATTGCTACTTTTTTTATTTACTTAGTCAAAAATTTTTAATTTTAGGTTTTATTTCATTAATTAAGTTAGGTAATTAATAGGTGGATGAATCATCGAGCCACTCGATTTTTAGATACCGATGACGGTTTCCCACCAACCACAAAGAAAAAAAAAGCTGAGTTGAAATAAATAATAAAAAATGATAAAATGATAAAAAAATAAAATAAAAAATTGAAAACGATAAAAGAAAAAAGAGAGAAAAAAGGAGAGAAAATACTAAGTAAAAATAATAAACAAAAAAGATAAAAAGGATAAAAAGAACAAAAGAAAATATAAAAAAATACTAGATGAAAATTAACAAAGTTTCTTATTTAATAGGAACTAATTTTAACACAAATCAATCTCATCTTAGTAATTAGGTAGTTCTTTAACATACCGGTTATGTCGAGATTTAAATTAGATACGATGTTGAATTGACGAGATGTTCGATTAAGAGGTCCGATGATTGATTCAATATGATGTCACAAATAAAAATAAAAAATTAATTTGACTTAGGAAATAAAATTTAAAATTTTGACTTAGGATCAATCTTGGAAAAATAAAAAATTTTAGGAGACAAAGTTTTAGAACTAAACTAGAAGTGGTACCTTTCTTAAGAAATGGTGTTTACGGGTGATTAATATCTTTTCAAATGAATAAACAATTCTTTACCTAAGAATCTCCGAATCGAGTGTCCATTTTAAGTTCCTGGTACCCTTAATGCTATATGACTTAAATAACTCACATCCCTAAGCGAACAAAATTTTCAATCAATAACTTAAATTTTTAGGAGTCTTATAAAAAGTCGGATAGCGACGGAATGACGACTCTATCAAGATTTAGAGTTATGCCATATGTTTAGTTTTTTTAATTTATCTCTTTTATTTATTTTTTACCATTTATTTTCTAAGTCATTTATTTATTTTAATTCTTGTATATACTTTGAACCTTTAATTGTTCTAATTTTTTTTTTCAATTTCTATATATAATTTATGAAGCTGGGTTAGATGTGTTACTTTGAATTATTGCACACACCACGAAGAAAGCCTACAAATGCTCTAGACTCGAGCTAAAACCTTTTTAAGATTTAGATAGAAAGATTCGAGAGGCAAGTATGACGAAGGTCTACTAATACTCGTTCAAACTCTCGTTTATACTTGGAACTCACCTTATGCATAGAAAATTATAGAATGACCATTTATACCTCTTGGTGCATAAGGTTAGAGGAAGAATTACATCA